CGCAGCCAGTGGAGCTCTGCTATCTGGGACCCGGGGGTGCAGGTACGTTGGGGGGGCACCCTGCACTCCAGTCCTGTCCTTGGGGTCCTACTACATACAAGGGGTTCACAGGTGTGTCCCCCACCCTGCCCCCCATGACCTCCGTGCCTCCACCTTCCCAGAAACCAGGGCTGAGGGCGGTCTGCACTGGTCAGGTTCCCCGGGGCCATGGGATCTGTGGCGAGTGGGTGGACAGACCCCCGGGCCCCAGCCGACGCGGCTGATGCCCGCAGCCGCCAAGCACAGGGAACCCAGCCGGCGGCGTGACTGCCAGCTGCGGTGGGGGGTCACGGGGATGCCGTCCCAGATACCCCACATCCTGTGCGGGCAGCAGAGAAGAGAATGCCCATGACCTATAGAGTGCGGGCAGTGGTCAGGCCTCTGGGGCCGTGGCAGGAGGGGCCCCAGTGACCGCAGGGCTGGCTTTGGCGTGAGGGTCTGGGCTATCCGAGACCCCCTGGCAGGTTCAGCAGCGCCCACACCGCCCTCTTCCCGTCACCTTTGGTGATGTGCAGTCCGACAGCAGCTCCCTCAGTAGCTGGCTGGGCTGTTTCAAAATTAGGTTTCTTTAAGCATTTAAGCTACGAACATACGACATTTCAACCCTAAATTTACGCTACCAGCATGCGCTCCCACCGGCACAGTCTACAGACGCCCACACAACACAGACTTCCCCAGCCGGCCGGAAGATGTCCGTCTAGCTCCTCGTAACCTTTTCCTCAGAACCGGGATATGGCGCATAAGCTACGTCTGGCCACCACGACGCGGCGTTTGGGTCAAATACAGTACGTCAGGGGGCTGTCCTCCCGGCACTGCAGGCAGGGCTGAAGGCTGCTGGGCCCTGCTGGGGCCTTGGGAACCCTGCTTCCTGCCAACACAGCCTCCCCGGGGCAGGCGCCGGCATCAGCACACCCACCGGGTTTCTCAGCTGCCGCGGCTTCTGACAGATCGCACGCCCCCAGTCGGTGCCCACCTGCACGGGTTGTGCGAGAACCTCCTGGGGTTCTGATCGCACCGCGAGGCCCTTACAACCTCTGCCTCTCGGGCCACAATCTCTCCCGTGTGTCCGGAAGCAGCTACACTTAGAACACACCAAGCCTGGCACCTTGGGTGGAAAAATTTGTGTAATGTGGTTTTCAGAACTGCGGGTGACACACTGCCGTCCGGGGAGAAAGGCTGGATAGAATCTCAGCTTTCCCCAAGAGTCACTAGGATTGGTCTCTTTGGGACGACTTCCACCGAATGTCATTTCCTTAGTAAGTCAAAATTAGTGTTGGGGTTTTAGGAAAATATTGACAAGATTTTAAAAAGTACAAAGTTTAGATAATTTAACTTTTCAAGAGAGCTGAACGAGTCTGAAGTGGGAGGGATAATGGGAAATACCACTCACTCAGGGCGTTTTGAGAAGTGAAGTTTGTTCTTCCTTTGGAAACCAGAATTTCAGAAGTCTCCTCCCTAGAGGCTTCAGGGCTGGTGCCGGAGGTGAGCCGGAGGTGAGCCGGAGATGCCAAGAGCTTCTGTTCCGTAAGGAGTCTTCAAAGCTCAGCACGGAGAAGCTGCAAGCGAGAAGCCCCGCTTTCCTAAGGAACCAAGGAGGAGAAGCCCCGTCAGGAACGCACAACTCCAGGTGTCCACGAGGGCGTCGCTTCCTCCTGTTTCTTTCCCTTTATGTTTGGGAGCTTAGGTGGCTTCAAAAGTCATATGAAATATTGGGGAAATCTATCTAAATGTGAATAGTTACCTCAGACAGAATCATGGGTAGCATTTAAAATTTCCTGTGTACTGACTTTCTTAGAAAGCTGCTTTCAGGGGCGTCCGGGTGGCTCGGTGGTGAAGTGTCTACCTTCGGCCCAGGTCGTGATCCCACGGATCGAGCCCCGCATCGGGCTCCCTGCTCAGCAGGAAGTCTGCTTCTCCCTCTCCCACTTCCCGTGCTTGTGCTCCCTCTCTTGCTGTGTCTCTCTCCGTCAAAGGAATAAATAAAATCTTAAAGAAAATGAAAAAAAAAATTAAAAAAGCTTTTTACAATGAACATCTATTACTTTTTAATAAAGAGAAAGAGAACAGTTATTTTAAAAAGTAAAATGTTAAGTGTCAAACATATATAAAAGAAAAGAAAAACAAAGTAATGGGGTGGCAAAACTATGGCCTGCTAGCCAAATTTGGGCCACCACCTGTTTGTTCATGGCCCGTAAGAATTATTTTTACATTTTTAAATGGTGAAAAAACTTAAAAGAATCCTGTATCATGATACATGGAAAGTGTATGAAACACATGATTCTGTCGGTAAAGTCTGACTGAACACAGCGCACTCTCGTGGACAGGCTGCTTGCCGTCCGGGGTTTTGCTGAGCGAGTGGAGGAGGGGCACGTGGCCCACAAGGCCCCGTATGTTCACAGAGCAGGTCTGCTGAGTCCTGCTATGAACTCCTGGGTGAACCACCCTCCTAGCCTCAGCGATGATCCAATTTTGTCTTATTTAGGTACTCCTGACTGAACTATGGATGTTACAGTGAATCCCAGACATCCTATAATTTCATCTTCATGTTTAAATAAAAAACAGTTGGGAATTCATCAAGAAAATACGATAATTACAAACATACCTGCAGCAAACAGTGACAGAATCGAAAGAGGAAGCAGGCAGCTCCAGGATAACAGTAGAGACATCAATCTTCTACTTTCAATAAAGGATAAAATCCACCAAGTGATAATTCACTACATGCATTAATAGAATGAAGAGGAAAACATTATTTTCATTGATGCAGAAAAAAGCATTTGATAAAAAACAAAAAAACTAACTCAGAACAGAAAATCTGCCCTGACTTACTAAGGGATATAGAAAAAGGCCACAGCTAACCCACTTGGTGAGAAAAGACTGAACGTTTTCTCTAAGGTCAGGAATGAGATGAGAAAGTCCACTCTCACCACTCCTATTACCTACACATCGTATTAGAAGTCCTCGTCACAGCAATTAGGCAAGAAAAACAAAAGGCATCCCAACTCTAAAAAGTATAACTACTTATGAATGATACGATTTTATTTGCAAAGAACACTGAAGATTCTACCCCCCCCCCCCAAAAAAATCCAAGAAAACCAAAGCCACCACTAAAAAGCAGAATAGGCATGCTTAGGAAAGTTGCAGGATACAAAATCAATATAAAAACAACAGCTGTGTTTTTATACATGAACAATGAGAAACTGCAAAGAGAAATTAAGAAAATCTCATTTACAACAGCAACAATGAATAAAATAGTTAGGAATAAACTCAGCCATAGAGGCTGAATTACCGTACGCTGAGAACTAGGACGTGGCTTAAAGCCATTAGAGCAGACACAGACAAACGGGAAAACGCACCGTGCCTGCGGCTGTAGGACTTATGATGACACCCCCCAAGGTGATCTATAGATTAAACGCACTCATCAAAATCTAGTGGTTTTTGCAGAAATAGAAAAAATCCTAAAATTTACATGGACTTTCAAGGGATCTCAAATAGCCAAAACAATCCTAAAAAAGAATAAAGTCAGAGGATTGACATATCCTGATTTCAGAACTCACTATGAAGCTACAGTAATGAAAATAGTTTTGTCCTAGCGTGAGAACACACAGAGACACACAGACCAATGGGACGAGACAGAGAGCTCGGAAACACACTATCACATACACAATCATGATTTTCAACAAAGGTGCCAACACCATTCAGTGGGGGAAAGGACAGTGTTTTCAGCAAATGGTGGTGAGAAAACTGGACGTCCACATGTGAGGAATGAAGTTAGGCCTTACCTTACACCATACATAAGTATGACCTCAGTGGTCCAAACGCCTAAACGTAAAAGCTAAATAAAACTGTAAAAGTTCTGGGCAAAAGCAGAAAGTTTCGTGACCTTAGGTTTGTCAATGATCTCTCAGGAGATGAAAAGGTCAGCCAACGCTGGGAAAAAGGGAAATGGGCTCCATCAAACTGATACCTGCACTCATCAGGGACACAACAGTGAAAAGGCAACCCGCACAATAGGGGAGCACATCTTCTACTCATATGCCTGTAAGGAGTTAGTATCTAGAGTAGACAGGGAACTCATGCAACTCAACAATAAAAACACACAACAAAGAAATGGGCACAGGACTTGAACAGACATCTTTCCAAATACGACAGACAGATGGCCAATGGACACACGAATAGGAGCTCCAGGCCACTAATCACCAAGGGGACAGAAACCCAGACCCGCAGGAGACACCACCTCGCGCCTGTTAGAACGGTCACTGTATGGTGACCGCCCCAAAACAGTGTTGGCGAGAACGTGGAGAGAGAGAGGCACCGCGCTGCTGCTGGGATGCAGACTGCGGGTCTGCGGAACGTCGTTCAGGATCTCCTAATAATGAGAGCAGCATGGAATGAGCATCTGACGCACCGATTCTGCTTCTGGGTGTTTATCCAACGGAAGGGAAAGCAGAGAGAGAGGAGAGATACGGGCACACCCTCGTTCACAGCAGTGTCCCACAGACGAACTGTGGTCCGCCCGGGCAACAGAACACGGCTCAGCCCTGAGCAGTCAGGAAATCCTGAGACGGGCCACGGCGTGCATGGACCCTGAGGACATGACTTTCAGTGAAACAAGCCGGTCACAAAAGGCCAAGTACCAGATGATTCTGGGACATCCTGCATCCAGGGTAGTCAGATTCCCCACTGCAACAGGAGGTGGCGGGACCTGAGGGCGGGAGCCGGGAAGTTAGTGTCTAATGGGGACAGGTGAGCACCCAGGACAGGCAGATCCTAATGGCCTTCCTGGTACCCTGTGCAAGCCGTCGGGCCTCTCACTAGGCAGTGTCTGACACACGAGGCAGGACCAAGGGTGGAGGGTGGGGTCAGGCACGTACCCGCACAGGGTTCACGGAGGAATTCAAGTTGTATTTCATAAACACGGCATCTTCTGCCTCTTCAGACTGGTTTTCAGAGGACAGCACGGCCTCCTGCTGGTCACTGTGGGGCGAGCAGCAGACCGTGTGGCGGCGGGTTATCGTGGGGGCCTTTGCCTCTGAAAGAGAAAGGATCTTCCAAGAAGGAAGCTGCTCGTCAAGAAGGAAGCTGCTCGTCAAGAAGGAAGCTGCTCGTCAAGAAGCACAAGCCCTGAAGCTCGACTGAGCGTCTGAAGCAGAGTAACACCGGGGTCCCTCCCACACTCTGCCCTCAAACAGCCGAGCGACCACTGCCAAGGCGAGTTCATCCTAAGTCTGCCCGGACGTCCTCACCCTGACCACAACAGGACGAAGACAGCCCAAGAAATTCAGACTGAGATCACCTATGGAAAGCCTGTGTGGTATCAGCAAACCTAAACCAGCAAGTCGGTACGAAAAGGACGATTTAGCGCCACCACCTAGTGGGATTTCAGCCCAGAATGCAAGGGTGGTTCCACGTGCAAAAGGCAACCAACGTGGGGCCCGTGGCAGGCTCCATCAGTGCCGCACACAACCCCTGACACCGGGGTTGTAAGTCTATGCCCCACAGTGGGTGTGGAGGTCACTTAAAAGTAACATCGTAAAGGAACAACAAAAAATCAATCAATGCTTCGTGCCACATGAGCCGGATGAAGGATGAAGCCACGTGATCTCAACGGATGTGGAAAAGCATGACAAAATCCAATACTCTTCTATGATTAAAAAAATCCTCAAGAAAGTACAACCGGAAGGTTAAGCCCCAACCTGATAAAGGCGTCTACAGGAAGCACACGGCACCCTCACACTCACAGAGGAAACAAAGCCTTCCGTCGGCGGGAAGCACGACCGATGTCTGCGGCTGGCGTGGCACCACAGGCCCCAGCCCAGGCCGTCAGGGTGCCCAGACTCCAGCTGCGTGTGGACACGTGTGGGCGTCTGCACAGTGACCACCGGTCTGAGCTCAGCAGGTCACGGGGCACAAATACCAACACTTGACGAGGGGTCTGGGGGTCTAAGGACAGCATTTACAGCACACGCTGTCAGCAGTCAGACGTTAAGTGTCCTACAGCAGACCTAGTTCCTCGTACAGAGACCTGAACCATCAACAGGGGCGCGTGGTGAGGGGTTAGAGGTCATCTCCGTCCTCTGTGGCCACACACCGGGTGAGAAACAGCTTCTTGTGCCACGAAAGGGGCAAGGCTGCATCTGGACGGCCTTCCTGGCTGGCAGTGCCCGCTGAGGCCCACCCGGTGCGTGTCCTGCCTCAGGCGTAACCGGGTGCCTCGGGCTGGCCCTCTCGGGCTGAAGGCACAGAAGACATGCTGTGGGGTCTCCAGCTCACAGTGTCCCCTAACAGACCCGCATTCAAAGCACCGTTCCAGTGTGCAGTTCAGGACAATTCTGCGTCTCACCCCCTCCTGCACATGACTGATGGCTGCCTGGATGCCGTCTGCCTTCTGCTCAGCCTGTGGCCTCTACTCACTCCGTGTCTTCCCCAAGGCCGCTGAGAAAGCTGCCACTGTCCGCAGCTCGGCCGGGCCTCCCACGGACCCCCCGGACGGGCTAGCAGAGCGCAGCGGCTGTGCTCCCCTCTGTGCTATGGACACATGTTTGGGGGACAAGAGCTCAAACTTCAACGTCCTTTTAAGAAGAAATCAACACCAAAAAAGACCAACAGTGAAAACCGGCAAAAGACACACGTGAGGCAACTTACCCAAAACAAAAACCCACAGTCGATCATACAAAGAAATGTGGACACACCTTGTCCCTCACTTCGGCCAAGAGCGCCGGGGGAGGGAGCCCGCAGCAGCCTTCTTTGGGGAGCTCAGGCGCTCCATGTGTCGCTGCCGGGAAAATCCTAACCACTTCCGGTCACAGGAGTAGTCTGGACACATCCTCCAACATGTGATGCCATCCCTGGGGCTCTGCTCCTCCTTCGTCTCAAGGGGCCGGAGAGCCTCACATGAGCTGCTGACAGCTTGCCCATCCCAGTTCCTCCGTGTGCAGCAGGAGTCAGCGACACCCTGCCTCCCGTGACAGTGCACAGCCAGCAAAACCCGAGAAGGGTCAACAGGAAAAGCCCCTCCTGCGACCCACAGACGTCCAGGGCTCCACGCCATGTCCCGGGGGAAGCACATCATTGGCCCTCAGCACCAGGTCAGCACAGACAGTGATACTGAAAATCCCAAATCTTTATTTACAAAGACGCGAAACCGCAAACCATTTTTATATGCTTAGAAGAGGAAAAACTTAGGGCAGGAAGGAGAGATGATCTGCGGGGGTTCCCACTGCTCTCCCACAGCGTCGGGGTGGGAGCTCATCTATGTGGCAGGAGCATGGTCTTGGGGGACAGGGTCCTGGGTGACTTGTATATTCTTTCATAACATATTCCCCAAAATATCCAAAATAGACATGCATTATTTTAAAAATAAAACAATCTTTTAAAGGTTTAAATCAACGATATCAAAACCACGGACACTACTTTTTCAGAAAGGTATAAAATCGAGGAAGTCAGATAAGTAAATAAAGACGATTTATTACTTTGTCTAGGAAAGCACTTCCAGGACAGTGAAGGGGCGGCTGCACCGGGCGGTCCCACCACCCACACCGTGGCTGGCCACAGACTGACCACAGACTGACCACGAACACAACGGTACCACACGCTGCCCTCGGCTCACTTCCATCAGTGAGGACTCACTTGGACACAACCAGTGCAGTTAAAATACATATTAAGAAAAATAAATATTCTGCACCCCGTATTTACAACAGCCCATTGTTCTGTCCCTGCCCCTAATCACTACAGAATCAGGAAACTATGATCTGACGGTCAAGCACAGTGGTAGCCGTGTCAGTGTGGCACAGAATGTGGTGCTACTAACCCAGGACCTTACTGAGCCATATTAATAAACACACAACGTTGCAAACCGTCACAGGCTTAAACGAAGAGAATTTTAGAGAAAGTGAAATGATTTTGCTTGGGTTCCCTGACCCCCTTTCAGAACAAACCAACGCCCTGTGGCCTGTCCGTGCAGGGAGGGGGAGGCGCGTTCTCCAGGCTCCTGTCGCTCCCTGGTGACAGCACAGCACAGCGAGCCCCTTCCACCTTCAAAACTTGAACAGGTCGATGAAGTGCTGTGGGGACACAGGCATGAAGCAGCTGTCGGGGTCAGCGGCGGTGCAGGGGTGCCCCGAGTCCTGCAGGAGGAGGCAGAGGGGTCACCACGGAGCACCCGGGCCCCAGCGCCGTGTGGAGGATGCGGACCCGCGTTACAAGGGCAGACGGGCACGGGGGTTTGTGAGCAGAGGCAGGTGGCCCAAGCTAGAGGGCCAGGACCGGGGGTTCTCTGCCTCCCTGGCCTGGCCCCGGAACGCGCACTCCAACAGCAGGGCGCCCCCGGGAGCTCGCACTCAGTGGGAGACTGGGACCCTGTTTCACAGGAGAGATGACTAAAGAAACAGGCGCTCCGCAGACTGACAAACTTGAAAGGAGGAGGAGGCTAGAGAGCAGAGACGGAGGGAGTTGGAAGCCACGCCGGGTCGAGGCACCTGCCATGTGGCCCCGTGCCTGAATGAAAGCTCACAGACATGTGTCCATGTCCCCCTCGGGCTGAGCCTGCCCCTAACGCACTGGCCCCAAGGACATCCCGCAAGCGGCTCAGGGGGCGGTTCTGGCCGGCCGGGGAGCATGCGTGGACGCGACACGAGGCCTGGTCTAGCACGGAGGTACCTTGAACAACAAAGCAAGGCGGCAGTCCTTTGAGGTCGTGGAGAAAGCACCAGGAGGAGTGCAGGGAAGGGAGGGAGAGAAAGGGAAAGCGACGTTAGCGAGAGAGCAGGTCGCACGGACGTCCGTGTGGACGGTGATCTGCAGACACGGCTGGCGCCGCCGGCACTGAGGCGGACGGTGGGAACAGTCTTGGAGCCAGCGCATCGACCACTAGGACCCATCCGTCCTGAGGCCGGGACCGACACTGCCCTTGCCTCAGAGTCTCGGCTGAGCGCGGCCCAGGCCGCAGCCCCAACCGCAGAACTCCCCACGGCACACGCAGTGCAAGGCTGCGGTCTCCCGGCTTGTACTGAAGATGCCTGGGCCGTGTATGCGGAAGCCGTTTAGTCTCTCCCGCGCAGCCCAGCACCTGCTTTGCCAAATGCCTGCCGTCCACCTTAGTGTCGCTCCTGCTCGCTCGTGCTCTGTCCGCGCCCCACTGAGCAGCCTGCCGACCTCCCCACACGCTACCCAGCCACCCGCCCGCTGCCTCTCGCGTGCCGGCCACCGTGCATCCTGTGGGCACCGTGCGCAGGCCACCTGGCGGACCTGTTCCTGCTCACGGGCGCAGACCTGCCATGACCCCGCCTGGTCCCGCCCGGAGCCCCAGACCTGCAGTGTCCACTCTGGCTCCTGCATGCTGTCTGGTGGCGACACAGCCCTGACCCCTGGTCCTGGCCTCTAACAGGACTCGTTCTGTCCGGCTGCCCAGCAACCCCCCACGTCAGCTTTACCACAGTTCCGGGAAGCTGAGCGATACAGAGATCCGGCTGCAGAACGGACGGGAGGAGGAACAGAGCCGCCTGTGTGATCACGGAGGGACGGTGCCTTCCCTCCTGAGGCCAAGACCAGATCCCAGTCAGGGACCTACCCCAATGGCCCAATGAGGTCACTGCTATGGGTCTGTGTCGGTGCCCCTGACCCTCAGAAGCTGGGATGCAGGGAGCCATGCTCCTCTGTCTGCGTCCACGAGCACCTGCTGTGTGGGGTGCACACAAGCCTCCCTCGTGCCCTGGGGCTAGGGACACGGGCTTCCCCACAGACGGACTTGTGCCTCCCTCACCCATCAGGCCAAGGCAAGAACACACCTGCTCAGACTCTGTGCCCTTGAGGAACCGTGTCCTACAGAACAGCTGTGACCACAGAACACGGAACCTGCACCATGTTTTCACTGCGAGGTGGGAATCCTACTAACAGACGTCAGTGACTTGGAAACAAAATCCCACATGACTCGTGCAAAGGGCAGCAGTGACCCTCTGTTACAGTGACAGAGGAAACACTCCACAGGACTGCACTCACGACTCGCCACAGGCAACAGGAAACCACAAGTGACACTATCACAGACGTCCTCGGAGTGGAGAGAAACCTCCAGGGCTCATCTCCTTTGCAACAATGCAGCGTCTGCCCTGCGCTCCATCCGACAAGCTGCAGGTAAATGTGTGGCGAAGCGAGGAGCAGGGATGCTGCTGACGAGGCAGAAGCTGACGGCCGTCCCCCAGCAGCATGAGGGCCCCGCATGTGGGGTGCACACACGGATCTCACTCGCCATCCACGGAGCACGGAGAGCTCAGGTCGCACGCTCTTCGTGGTCAAGGAGACCATGGGCACACATCCCAGGGTAAAGGCAAACGACCCGGGACAAGAGCTCCCCTCCCACTGCGGACAGACCGAGACTGTCTGTGTGGCAGGGAGCCACGGGGCGGAGGGCTTCTAGCGCGCCCGGGTCCTCCGATTCCAAATGTGAGTCAGTAGGCGCTGGTTCAGTTTCGATCAAATAAGAAAACCGTGTGTCCCTCTGAAAGGCTGGGACCTCCCTGCCGCAGGGGCTTGGCGTGGAGGGGAGCCGTGAGGTGGCGCTGGCAGGGGTGCCAGAGGCACAGGGCTGGAGGCCCAGTGTGGGGCACCCGCTCCAGACGCTTTGGCCCCTTTCTCCCGGGCTGAGGGCTGGCAGGAACACGGCACCGCCCAGGACAGGCTGCCCCTGGGGATACATGTCCCCCGAGCAGAGAGACACGTGGCTGCCCGACACTTACGACTCCAACCACAGGCTGTACGGCTCACGTCCGTGACTCTGTCCCCCACCCCGACATCTGGGGAGATCAGGCTCGCTTTCTCAGCACCACTCCCCTCATGCCCGCAGCAGAGCCCGTGGACCCCCACCCGCCCCGCTTACCTTCCAGAAGAGGATGCTGCAATGGCGGCAGAAGTGCAGCGTGTCCCCGTACTGCTCCCGCGGCGGGTAGTGCTTCTGCAGCGCGAAGTACATCAGCTTCCACTCCACGTGGCCCTTCTCCGACACAATCAGGTGCCTGCAGAACTGACACACCACACACTGCTGAGCGCCACGCCAAGGGCCCCGGGACGTGGACTCAGACCCCCGCAGGCTGAGGCAGAGGGGACGAACCCCGTGCCCCATGGCATGAGCACACGGGACAGCACAGGGCAGGTGGGAACAGCCTGGTCTGCAGCGACGCCCACGACCCGTATTATGGGAAAATCACGTCCCGTGTGTGGTGTCTCGACACCTGCATCTCTATACGGAAATGACCACCTGACTGAAAACAGGGCCAAGGACCCAGCACAGAGGTGGCCTGGGTGCCACACTCTGTCACCAAGGACCCCACGGTGCCACTGCACACCCACTAGCTCGCACTTGATTTAAAAAAAAAAAACAACCCGTAACAAAAGCGCCTGGGGGGCTCAGTCGTTAAGCGTCTGCCTTCGGCTCAGATCATGATCTCAGGGTCCTAAGACAGGCCCCGCGTCGGGCTCCCTGCTCCACGGGAAGCCTGCTTCTCCCTCTGCGCCCCCCTGCTCATGCTTGCTCTCTCTCTGATAAACAGAATCTTTTAAAAACAAAACCAATCTGACCCAGGAACCCGGAGCACCATGCGGATATGGGGACACCGGAACCCGTGTGCTCGGTGGCCAGCAATGTATGACACGCAGCCCGGGGGACAACAGCGTGGCGGTTCCTGCCAACTTCAACACAGGTGCCACGTGACCCAGGATTTCCACTCAGAGGTGCACACCCACGTCCACACGAAAACATGGCCACCAGCATTCACTGCTGTACAATTCATCAAAGCTGCAAGGAAGAAACAACCCAGATGTCCACCAGCTGCGGAACAACCAGCGGAAATGGGGTCCGTCCACGGAACGGCCTGCTGACCAGCCACGGAGCGCCATGCGGCCGGGTTGGCGAGCAGGTGGCCCACAGGGAGGGACGGTTTGGTAGAGCAGGGACTGGTGTGGGGCCAGAGCTCGGGGCGCGGCGTCTGTCCCTCAGGAACCGCTGCAGGGCATGCGGGAGGACGGCTGCCTAGGGAGACGGGGTGGCCTCCCCCACGCACCGCCGTCTGGCTCCAGGCCACTGCTCTGCCTGCTGCCCCAGGGCCTCTCACAGGGCAGCGCTGGGGACTGCCTGAGCCAGCCAGCCCCACGCCCCGGCTTCTCCTTCAGCCGCGTCCGCACTCCCAGCAGACACCCTCCTCCACCTCGGTCGCGGCTCCTCCCGGCTCCAACGAGCTCCTCAAACAAGACCGCACTTGCCCCCCGGGCATCCGCCCGGAAAACCCCAGACGTGGGGGGGGGGGCACTGCACCCTGGTGCACAACACTGAGGGCCACAGGTGCCATTTTCTCAAGGACATCCCACCCCCCAGCCTCTCAGAGGGACAGTCTCCCCTGGGCCATGTGTCCATGACTCTGCGACTCCGTCCTCCCACCCGCCCCCTCGGCCGCAGCCAAACCCGCCTCTGACGGGAAGTAACGCATCAGGGAGCCCCTGCCCTGCGCCCTGCCCGCCCCACACCGCCCTGCATGGAACAGATACCCCTGCATGTGTGCGGGTCTCACAGAGCCCCGCGAGACGAGAACGTGCACCGAATGCCCAGGAGGTCACACGCAGACGCACCCCGAGCGGCCCCCACGACTGGGTGTGCGGGCGCAGCGAGCGGGGAGGGAAGGTTCAGAGAGCCACGTGCAGGTGCTGGGGACGGCGACAGGCGCAGGCCAGCCTCCCTCCAAGGGACACGTCCCACACCATGGGGCCCCGAGGCCACCACACTCACCTGCTTCTCGGCGAAGTGGTACTGACAGAGTTTCTTCCACAGACGTCTGTCCTCACTGAGCATGGACAGTGTTGGCGTCACCTGGCCCAGCGTGACGATGTCCCAGCCATCGGAGAATCTGTACAAGATGTTGTTGAGCATATGCAAAGGGAGGTCACTGAGTGTGAGGCCGTTGTTCACCTGCCGGGGTGGAAACGGACGGGGCTTCACTGCGTGTGGCACCCGGGAGCACCAGGCTACGAGGACGCCTCGCAGTCCCGACAGCAGCTGCTTCAAAACACAACACAACCCAAGAGACGCAGCTGAAGTGTCACCATCCCTCACACTTGGCCATGGGAGCCCTGAGCCCCCGTGTCGAGAGAGGGCTGGCCTCACGAGGACCCCAGAGGAGAGGCGGGAAAAGAACAGAGTCCGGTCTGGGCCCTCGGCTCCTCCAGACTCTGTCCGAGTGCAGGACTCACTCGTCAGACGTGACACGGACATGGGGTGGAGAGATGGCGGGGTCTGAGGACGGAGCAAATAAAGCCGCTGATCGCCATGGAGGCCCGCCCAGCCTTCAGCATCTGTGTCAAACGCAGGAGCCACACCCTCCCTCCCACAAGCCTGCGCATATGTCCCAAGAAAGGACGCGACACAGCGTGCAGAACCCGTGTGTCATGGTATCGGGAGGGAGAGGAGCACACACGTGGGCAGCTGAGTGTTGCAGCCTTGGGCTGGGCACACGCACCCACGCCACCTCTCACGGAGACGGGGCGACGTCTCTGACCACTCGCAGCAAAGGTCCTATGGGCTCAGGGATGCCTGCACACCTGGCCAGAGCCACACGCTTCTGATGTGGCTGGGTGACTGTCCTTGTCCCCAGTGGTCAGCCCCAAGGACAGCTGGCTTCCTTCCGGCTTCTGTTTTCTCCAGTGGCCCCAGCAGCCCCGCACAGAGCACACACCCACAGAGAAACACTAGAGCAGGGCTGCGGTGAGGTGCTGAGAGGCCAGCCATGCCACTCTCCATGTCCTTGCCGCCACAGAGTGGCCGTCTTTTTCCAGAAATGCTCTCCCGGCCCTTTGTGTGTGGAGACCCGGGAGGAGGTGTCCTGTGCCCCACAGTGGAGTGAAAGTCAGGGCTCATCTCTGAGGATGTCTCAGGGGCAGCCTCTGGGTGTGGGGGCCTCGGCACTGGCTGCCTCTTTGGGGAACAGCCCGGTGCCTGGGACATCACCATGCAGCGTGGTCACACGTTGTCACTTCAGATCCTACCAGCCCACGGGCACGTGCGTGTGCACCCCCAACGGGCTGCACAGCATGAGCGGGTGACAAGGGGCTCTTGGAGCAGCTGTGACCACAGGCTCTCGCAGGCTGGCGCACAGCGGGGTCCCCCGGAGACAGCACTCGTGTGCCTCATTCCTGACCAGGTCTTCACGCCGTGACAGGAACTACCGAGACTTGCTATAAATGCCTGCTCCGTGCTTCCTTCTTTGGAGACAAGCTTCTGCTTCAGAAGCTCACAAGCACCCTGAGGCTTGTCCAGGTGCATGAGGTAGGAGGAAAAACCCTGGGTGCATGAGGCACCAAAACCCAGTACCGTCAACCAGTCTCCAGCCCATGGTGACTGCTCATAAGACACAGCCACCACGCCAGCAGTTTCTGCGAAGATGGCTGTGACCACTCCAACAGGAAGGTCCGTTGAGGCGCAGGGCCTTCAGCTCAGCCCCCCACTGCCCGGCTGAGCCACTGTGCTGCAAACCCCGTAACCGTGTCACCATATGCAAAGGAACACAGCTCTGGGAGGTCTTGCCAGTGCACCAGCCCAGTGAACCCCACTCCTGTGGAAGCACGTCTGTCCTCACTCCACGGCTTTGCAGGGCTATAGTACCCAGGAGATGAGGACAGAGGACCTGGAGTGAGAGGGGCCACAGAGGGCTATCCCGCCGCCTGCCCGTTGCTGCCTTGAGGAGTTCTTGCCACCTGCCAGCGGACAGCAGCTGCAAGGGGCCTGTCCCCATGGACTGGACCCCAGACTCAGGTCCCAGGACTCACACACCAAGTCCCCTCATGGGCACGAGCTGGTCTGACCCCAAGACACACAAAGTCCTGGCTGTCCTGCCCCGGGGGCTGCTAGGCTCCCTGCACACAGTGACCCCCTGAATCCAGGCTCCCTCCCATCTGGCCACACAGTTCTCTTCCCCAAAAGACCCTCTGTCCCTGGTTTTGCAGCAGCTGTGCAGCTGTCCGCCCGGGCTCATGGGACCACATCTATGCTGCGAAGAGTCAGCGTTGACACAGGCGACACCATCACCTCCTGATGGGCCACAGGGGACGAGGCCACAGGGAAGCCAGCTCTGAGTGTGCGGTTGTGCCCCAGTCAGAAGGGCGTCCCCACCGCTGCCCTCCACCTGTGCTGCCTCCGAGCTGGTGTCAACAACAGGAAGACCCTAAAGGAAGCCCGTGGCTTCTCGGTCCCGCAAGCTGGCCAAGGCGAGGAGGAGAGACCTGGCCTCTGCTCTCTCCCCACCGGTGTGTGTGCCAGCCCACCTCTGCAGCTTCTCTCCCTCCTCAACGCACACTTCTCTCTAAATGACGCACTTCCCAGCCTCGAGCTCCCTTGCTGACGACAGACCCCCGCTGGCCACCTGCACCACCTCCTCCCCTGAGAACCACACACGACCCCAGAGGACAGCGGGGACGGGGGCAAGCACGGACCCTGCATCGGGGGGGGGGGGTCGCTGGCAGAATGAGGCGCCACAACTCCTGGATAGCTATTTTAGTTCCCAACACTGCATCTTCCCTGGAAGGCTCATCACCACAACACCTCATCACCCGTCCCCGTCTCCACGACGGCCAGCCCCACTGTCTTCCCACGAGCAGTCTAAGCCGCCCCATGGCCTCTGGCCCCAATGCACCTGGAAACAAAGATTCCAGCAAGCGGCCAGTGTCTCCCCAGTGCCCCCGCGGGGGTGAGGCCTCGCACTTGGGACCCAGCGTGTCCCGTACCTTAGTGACCTGCAGATCCTGCAGCTGCTCCTGCCAGCGGAGCACGGTCTCCAGACGGCAGACCCAGATGTTGATGTTTCCCACTAGCACGGACTTCCCGACACCCCGGAGGAGGATGCAGAGGGTGGAGCTCAGGTCCTGGAGGAGGTCCTTGATGAGCCGGGGGTTCTGGTGGTCGTCAAGGACTGGAATACAACAACACACACTGTGGGAAGGTGACAGAGACCCGGCGCCGCGCCCGTCCCCGTGGCACTGACGAATGCAGCACGGACGCGCTGCAGGAGGGGAAACGTGTGAACCCAGAGGCCTGGCGCTGAGGGACGGGCCCCGCATGACTCCGGTCAGAGCGGAGGAGCTGGGGTTCCAAGGGGCGGGGTCCGTGCGGGACCACAGCACGTTCTGGCAGCAGGTGGAGAACATGCTTCATACAACCCCACCATGTGCCTGAAGACGGTTAAGATGGTAAACTCGGGAGTGTGTGTGTTTTACCACAATGAAAACAACGATCTAATGTCAGTGCAACCCCAAACTGGCATCATTTTTGAGACCCCGCCAGTAGGACAAATTTAAAAGAACATCAAATATTGCTGGACAGCATGATTCTGGGGGTGTGTGCGATATCAGCTTTAGAATTAGCCGTGTCTGTTCTCCTTACACGTGCGAGTGTCAATACACTCACACACGTAAACTCACGGTGGGGCATCTCAGGTGCCTCCTACTGTCGGCCAAGAATTGATCAAGACAGCCTGAAGCACAAAGCCACAAGCTCTCCTGAGGCCTTGGCGACTACGATGCGGCCGCGCTGCTTGTGGAGACGCATGGCTGAGGTGACCGTCCGGCCGCTGGACAGGAGAGACTTCTCTGAAACCCAGGGACCCTCCCTCGTCCTGTGGGAGCAGCCTGTCCCGATAAGACGGCGTCACCCGTCCTGGGGAACAGAGAGCAGCCCCACCTCCTCCTGTTCTCAGACACATCGGGCACCTCTTACCCTTCTGGACAATTTTGTCCAAAACGTTGAAGTAGTTCTTCTGCGCCACGCCGCTCAGTGACGTTAACTGGGATTTCGCAATCAGCTGCAGGAGCTGAAGGAGGAAAGGACATGCGTTCCTTAGTTTGGAAGCAGAAGCCCCCACACCGCCTTGTCCTCTCCAGAGACCCCACACCTGTCACGTCTGTGGTATTCCGTCACCTCCGAGGGTGGAACACGGTTTCCAAGGGCAGATTCCAGGAGGTTTTCGTCTCAGGCAGGTTCTCCTTGGACCCACCTTTCCCTTAGTGTTCCCTTCACGGTCTGACCTCCGGGCTGTCTCCCATGGCCTCGACAGCTGGGAGGACCTTCTGTCTCCCCTTCACACTCACCCTGTGTCGTCCTTCCTTATCCGCCTACCCCTGTCCCCGCCGTCCCTTGCCCTGCGTCCCAGTGTATGCTCCTCTCGGGCCCCTCACCCACCCTGCAGTACCCCCCTGTGCCCACGTGGACCCACGTCTGATTCCCTGCAGCCCCGGCTGGCGTCTGCCTTCCCGTCCGCACCCCTGACACAATGTCAGGATGTCAGGTGGCGGGGTCGCAGGCTCCCTCACACGCCTCTGCTCCAACTCCCTCCTGCACCTGCTCTGCGGGGCCTCCTAGGCACCTCACCCCAATGCCGCTGCCCAGAAAGCCACTGTCCATACCAGCAGGACTCAGAGCCAGGCCTCCCTGGCCCAGGGAGGCACACCCGTTCATCCCCCCAGACTGCTGCTGCCCAGTCCAGGCTGCTCTGGGTAACCGCACCTGCCTCCTGCTTCCCTGAACATGGGACTCTCCACCTTCCCTCCCGCTCACCTTGCCGGTTTCCAGAGGGAGAAAGGACACAGGAGACAGCAGATGTTACAAGTAGGACGACCACGTAATGACCCTGAGGGGACAAAGCACCTACTAATGGTTCCGTAAGCAGTCCTCTTCCTCTGCGGCAGTGACCGCAGATGCACACACTGCAGGGCGCAGGCGACCACAGCTCTGGTCACGTCAAACTGGACATGCTGGAGTCAGGCCCAGTCCTGCTCCTGGCCCCTCATCTTATCACCCATGTATTGCCCCCACCTGCCAGCTTCAACCTTCAGTCATGTAAAATTCCTAAGTGTGATTTTTAAAAGTCTTCTCAATCTCACACACTTAACAAAAAAGGAATGTAACTGCAACTCTGTAATGCAGAGCATTCTAGCCAGCTGTCCTGAGCCCGTGACCCTGACCGTGGACCCTGCAGTCTGGGCTGGGTTCCCAGGAGACTTCAGGGCCCAGGACCCTGTCCCTGTGCTCAGGGGCCAACGGGCATCAGTGACACAGAATGCACTGGAAATAAGCTTCCCCCTTGGGGATCAGCTTGAGTAGATGACTTGTGAGTCGGGACTCCCACTTCTTGCTTTGTCCCTTTTTTCCCCTTTCCCAAGGACTCTCGTCTTACTCACAGACTTCTAGAAGGGGCAGAAGGAAGGACTGCCATTTCCTTTGAATTATACTGTAACACAATTTACAATTTTACACTGGTTACAGGACCCCTCGGTGGGTCTACTCATCACGCGGGTGGTCTTGCTGACAGCACCGGCGTGCGGCCTGTTAAAGGTGGGCCAGGTCCCTGCAGACCCATGGCTTCTGGACGACGGGCTTCTGCTGACCCGCCCGCTGAAGGACAAAGCCCACACTTCCAGTACGCCCCACGCCAGGACATCCCATCTACCATGACCATCAGTCTATGCTGTATCACTTAAAAACGTCAGAGCTACAGTGTTTAATTTAATCTTACTGAGGTAAGATTAAATCAAAGTATCAAGTTAGTTGAAGAGTGTCTCCTTCGACTGGAAACTGGCGTCTCTGATAATACTGAATGAGAAATACGAGTTTTTCAGAATTACATATGATACAATTTTACTACTATACAATTTTAAACAAAAGACACAAATCATAAAACTATCTTGCAAAGGTGACAGAACTATAAACAGGAAAATCAGGTAAGCGTCAACCTCCGAGGAAGGAAATCAGGCCACAACGATGTCCACAGATGGCACGTCCGCCGACACGTTGTTGGGAACGCCCTACCTGTCCAGTCGCACGCTAGACGTACACATGCTCCTGATACTATCACATGAGAGTAAATATATTCTCTACTAAAGGAAACAAGCATCTGTGTGAGGCACCACCCATATTTCTTGGTCCTTCCTCTTTAACGCATCTTGTTCTTAGGGAATCAACAGATCTTGCTAGTATGCTGTAACCCAACAAGTTTCTGGGGAGAAGATGTAGCAAACACCAGGTGTAGGAGCCTACCGCCAATTCTTAAACTGACAACAAGGAAGATTTAAGAAAAATGTATCTTTTTTGTGCTAAGGAACAGAGAAGACATCTTTTTGTGAAGGATCTACATTTTAAAATACAGAACGAACCTTCTCCATTTTTTAAAATTTTTAAATTTTTTTTATCAACATATAATGTATTATAACTTTCTCCATTTCTAAACACCTAGAGAAGGAACTGTGGACTCGGTAAAACAACCAGTAATAAATTAACTATTTCAGAGTGTCCTACAAGTCGGTTTGTACCTTCAGCAGAACCTGTGGTGTGTACTTCACAGCGGTAGGAAATCACTGGCCTGAGTCATCCAACAATACACGTCCACGGTGGCTCCCTGGGCCCCCTTGCTTGCTCACTCTGGGAAGAACACGCGCCCGGTGAGCTGCTGGGCTGGCTGCGGTGCTTGGGGGCAGCGGGCTTCCTACATGGCCATCTTGCACCTGCAACCTGTAAAGGGGTGACTCCACACTACTGGGAACCTCAGAGGCCTTTTCACTGAGCTCGAAAGGCCACCACTTCAAGATGTCACAGGACACATTTAGGAAGGTCACTTGTTTCCCTTGAGAAGGAAAGTTCCTAAAACTAAGAGCAGCAAGGTCTCCATCACTAAACACTGCCGTGAACCTGCCATCACCGTGGACGTGGACTGCACCTTCCACTCAGGAGGGCATCCCAAGGCTTCCGCAGCTGAAACCATCCTCCTTCAAAACATCTGTGAACAACTGTGCTCTGGCCCTCAGGGAAGACGGAACATGCACAAAACGCGGGTGCTGTGCCCACGAGTGAAACAGCCCTCGGTGCCACCAGCTTCCTGCCAGAGTGTCGCCCAGCTGCTGGGGCAATGCGGCAGGCACAGGGTGCTGGGGACATGGGACATGCATTTGCTCCACTCCAGAAGCTGGCAACCAAGCCCTGCAGCCACCTGGGATCTACAGAGCCTGCCTTACCCAGGCTCCTGGGGAGGCCCTTCCCCCCGCCACCCCAGCTTCTCATTTTAACACTTCATGTGGACATAAGACTTTTAGGGACTGCTATTCAACCCCACAGATTCATTACTTAGAAGTATTTTGTAGGAACATATAAAATTGATGATTCGAATGCAGCAGTTACATGGCATGGTCAGAACAAAGTACCCAGTAGTAAAGGACTAAGTGAAACCCCTAAACTCTGAACTTTTCATGTGTGAACTGTAGGCAAGACATAGGCCTTTTGGGGCATCCCAGGGGTCCAGCCCCCCTGGCCGTTCACACTGCATCTTTCCTGGGGGGAAGGTGGGGCCAGAGCGGCTCAATCCTGACCTACTCTATCCTCCTGGTCAGTTACTCAACCATCTCTTAGGGAAATCTGGTTTCCACCATTTAACGTTCTTCCAAGTCAGGAAGCTGCTAAAATACTCTTTCAGAAGACTGCACTTTTAGAAAACCGCACTCGCCCAGTGGAACACTGGTGCCTGGGAACACGCAGTCCTGTGAGACACCACCTTGCCTGAACAGGAGTCTCCCACGACCCACCTCTCGGTGACCATCTGTCAGCCACGTGCAAACACGGCCACTCAGTGAGGACTGGCTCACCCCCAGGGCGGTGGAGGGATTAATGAACTCCTCTCACAGGAGCCCAGGAGGAGTCGGGGCCTAGAGAGTCGCAGACTGTCCCATCCCCCGCCACACCTGTTCCCCAAGCAAGTCACGAACCCTGGGGACGGCCGAACGTTTGCTATACTGCTGAGTGTGTCTGCGGCTGAATCGTGGAGGGCGCACTCCCGTTTCACAGAACCGGAGAGAATCCAGTACAGGACCCTGCACTTGACACCGTGAAAGTGTCCACCGCGTTCCGACAGGTGGGCGAGGGAGCGGCTTCCCACACTGGGGGACACGGCCTCTTACGCTGGCAACCACGGTCTAACGCGAACTGGAAGAACAAGCTGAATAGGAAAGTTACCATCACAGAGGAAAGCAGGTGTTCCTACGAGGGTTTTAATAAAGCTTAAGTAAACCGACTGTCCGTACATAAGACATGCTCGGTTACAGGCTCCCAGGGAATGAGAGTGAAGAACCAGCTCTGCCACCCCAGAAGATGAACAGTGGGCATCTGAGGAAACGCAGGACATAACGACGAACGCACTTGTCTGGAGGAGTCCCGGCCGTGTTCTCGGTATCACAGAACACATGGCAGGGTCCTACCCGGGACTTAAAATTCTGTGCGTCCCCACAAAAATACAAATAGGCACGCACACTTGTTTACAAGAGAGCATTTCCTGGAGAACACCTGCGAAATGAACAGCGGCCACTCACGGGGGAGGCTGGGCCATGGGGGGAGGGAGTGAATGGGGAGAGGGGGCCCAGGCAGGAGCAGCCTGGGGAGGGATGAGGGGACTCATCACACTCTGTGGCAGCGTGCAGCTCCCTTCCTGAGTGTGTACTATCCTCAAAAACCTACCGAACCAGCGAGCCAGCACAGGAAGCAGAAGAGGGAGCAGTGTGCCAGCGACGGCGGTGAGGCCTCAGGCCCATCCGCAGGCACAGGACCGTGGACCACAGGCACACGTCCCACGCAACGCAGATGAAGGCGTAAGCACTTTACACTTCTGAGGGGACTCTCCCCGGGAAGCCCTACTTCAGGAAACACAGCCCTTCAATCCACACTGCTCCTGCCACAGGGCACTGACCTGCTGTCCCCAACTCGGGCAGGGGGAGTGTGGTTTGTTCTCCCGGTGCTACAGGGAGGGCCTGGGACCCCACAGGGAACAGGAGGTGGATGAAGGTTACACCCACAGGAGAGACCCAACCTGAGCTCGCAGCGAGGACAGACGAGCACTGGGTCAGCTGGCCCGAGTCTGTCCTAGGCTGCCAGCTGTCTGACCACGGGCCCTCACTCCACCATGACCAGGCTGGCACACAGGCTGCCCACGCAGGAGGGAGCCGGAGCCAGAGCCGGGGTTCAGTCGGCCCTGCGATGCCGTGCCCATCCCCCCAATGTGGCCTCACTCAGAGAGGACAAGTGCTTATGGCAGAGCGCAGTCGGAACCTGCTGTCGAAGATTCTCTGAAAGTGTTGGCTTGCTATGTTTCCAAGTGTATGCTTAATTTTCTTAAGTAAAATCTTCAAACTTCCACCAAATCTGTCCTTATTTTAATGAAAGTAAGCTCATAAAAGTCACCAAAAATGCTGTTAACATGACTTATAAACGGGATAAATGAAATGTGAGCTGAACTATGGACGCGATATTAAGAACTGTTCACTCAGGGGTGCCTGCGGGCTTGGGCAGCCGTCTTCGGCTCGGGTTGTGATCCCAGGGTCCTGGAACGGAGCCCTGCATCAGGCAGCCTGTTCAGTGTGGAGTCTGCTTCTCCCTCTCCTGCTCCCCATCCTTATGCTCCCTCTCTCTCCTCTAATGAGTGGATAAAATCTTTAAAAAAACAACAACAAAAACTGTTCACACACTAAGGGTCAAATCTTTTTTTTTAGATTTTATTTATTTGAGAGAAAGTAAGTGAGAGAGCACATGAGCAGAAGGAGTGGAAGAGGGAGAAGCAGACTTTCCCACTGGGCAGGGAGCCGGATGTGGGGCTTGAGCCCAGAACCCTGGGATCATGACCTCAGCTAAAGGCAGGTGCTTAACGACTGAAGCCACCCAGGCGTCCCACCAAGGGTCAAATCTAAGCTGTAACTTGACTTGTCTTTTTCTTTATCAAGAAGGAAATTTCTCATGGCATATTATGAAATAATAATTGCAAACAGTTGATAAAAGAAAAATTACTACTAAGTGAAAATATTTGTTAGCATTGATTCTGTGAAGGTACATTTAATAGCTCAATAAATTGTGCTAAGGCTTTTAAAGTAACTGGCCAGGACAATTTTCACAATCTGTTAAAACACAGAGGACATTGGGAGGAGAGGATAAGGGAGATGGGGGAAACTGGAAGGGGGAGACAAACCATGAGAGACTGTGGACTCTGAGAATCAAACTGAGGGTTTTGGAGGGGAGAAAGGTGGGAGGTTGGGAGAGCCTGGTGGTGAGTATTAAGGAAGACACGTATTGCACGGAGCACTGGGTGTGGTGCATAAACAATGAATCTTGGAACACTGAAAAAAAGTTTAAATATTAAAACAAAACAGGAAGAAGCTGGTTTTGAATTAGAGACAGGTGTTAAAAGCAATGTGACGCCATGATAACCACTTAGCCTGAAACTAACATAAGGAAGCACGTTTAACGAAAAGCAACGTGGGCACTGGTGAATAAGGACTATGACATGGTCAGCCAGCGCAGGCGGCGTGCGCACTCCTGGAGGCGTCTGTGTTGGCCCAGAGCAGGCACTGGTGTCTGGACTCCGCTCCCAGCTGCCTGACGTGACCACATGCACCTCCCCACCTGTACAAAGTCAAGAACCCGCCCTGGCGCAAAAGGAACAGGACCAGCCGTTGCTGCCCGCCCCGGGTTCTCCCTGCACAGTCACTCCCCACTCTCCAGCTTCCCCAGGGTTCCTACCAGCACCAGGCACACAAGTGACCCAATGGCTCAGCTCCAAGTCTAAGTCTGTTACACAAGCTTTAGGAACACGGCACCTAAAATTTTGTTTTCTCCTCTACAAAGCGGAGCGAGTACAGCTTGAAAAAATAACATTTGTTCCTCAAACTCAGACAAAAATTATTAAAATTACTTAAGTAATCTAGTATGAAAATGTCACAAACACTAACAGGTAATCCCAAGAATGGCTTCTCCTTTGCATACAGGACTGTGGGGGAGACAACTTAGTCTGGATTTGTTTTCAGAAGACCTCAGATTTCCACTCCTAACACGGTGAGAATGAGGACCACACCTCCACTCCAAAATGCTTACCTTTACTTCGGCAACTGAGATAATCTGTACTTGGACGCTAAAATAATACTAATTTTTATTCAGAAAACATGTTATAATCATTGATTAGTGTCCATTTAAACTGCTAATGTCGGGGGAACAAGAGCATCTCATATCATATTTTCATATTGACAAGTACATATTGTTAATTTCTTCCACACAAATCCTCAAGGAAACCATCACCGAACGCCTTGAGAAACATAAGGAAATGATTGAGGATGTCGGACACACGCTGCCTCCCATCTCGTTTCTCTGTGTCCCAACATGAACGGGCACAGACGAGTCCGCGTCACCCGCAGGACGAGCGCCTCAGCTGCGGACGCAGGACGAGGGGCCGTAGACCCGTTAAGCATCATGACAACCCCCATCTGCCCCCAGCGGGCTCCGGAGCACGCGCCGCACGTGCAGGTGCCGGAGAAACCCACTCCGGGGCACACGCCCCACAGTGCAACAAGGCACGCGCAGCGCCAAGCACGCCGAGGGCCCGCCTCTCCGTGGAGGAAGTGGCAGTGAGCTGAGTGGGGTGTCCCGGGGGTCCCAAGCAAATCCGGAGGTGAGAGCACAGAACGCAGCTGGGAGAGCCGTTGAGCCGGCGTGGGCGGGGAAGGTGCCAGAGCGCGGGCCGGGGACGGGACCGCGCGGGCGTGTCTGCGGCAGCATGCGGACTCAGAGCATGGCGGACGGCTGCCTTCTGTCTTCGCTTTTCGCAGAAGGCAGACACAGCAAGTGGCCTTTGGAAGGCAACCCTGCTGCCTCTGAAGGGGGTGCAAAGGGGCAGAGCTGGAGGGTGAGAGGCGAGGATTCCCGCCGGGCAGCGACTGAGTGGGTGGAGCCTCACGCACGTGGCCTGGGCAGCGACTGAGCAGGTGGAGCCTCAGGCAGGTGGCCTCGGCGCCTCCGCAGGCCCCGGGCTCCTTGCACCCATCTCCGGGGGACGGCGCAGAGACTGCAGTGCTCCAGGAGGGCCCAGGGCCCTTTCGGGGGGCAATGCACACGGCACACTCTAACTCTACACTTGCACGTTGTTTATGTATCAGAAAACAACCAGCAGAGGAAACGTAGTTTCACGGCCGTTACTGGTGGCAAGAGGCTAACGCAGGTATTTTCATTTTCAAAAAGAGGAGAGGCTTGTGGAGAAAGGCTCTTCCACGGGAGGAGTGAGGCACGCAGAGGGAACAACAAACCGTGGGCAGGTTTGGGCGGCTGGAAGGACGGACTCTGGCCCGGGGACCCACCTCGTCAGAGCTCAGCGCCCGCACCCTTGTGGAGCTCCCAGCTCCGCCCCAGCGAGGACGCCCTCCCCGGGACGGGGAGGCACCCAGGAGCAGCCAGGGACAGCTCAGGATGGCCTGTGCTCGCAGGTGGTGCGCGGAGAAATCCTCACCGAACAGAGACCTCCGCGCTCACGCACAGCTCCCGGCCACCAACTCGCCGCACTCTGACCCATCTGAGCGCAGCCGCGGGGCCTCACCAGAGAAGAGGCGAGGTGCCCCGCTGGCCAGGGCATGCATCCGAATACAGCCCGCGGGGTCCGGAGCGCGGGACTCCGGATAGCACGCGGCAGCAGAGGGGTCCCCGCACACCGGGCACCGACGACGCCCTGGCAAACTCCGACCGGGGCCGAACCAAACAGATGCTATTACCTCAGGTGTAAAGTGATTTAACTCCCAATATTTCTGTCCCATCACTAACACTTTTAATTTCCTAGAAACCATTACAAGGAAACTATTTCTAATGTCTCACAGTCCTATTAAACCCGAAAATAAGAGCATCAGGAACCATCGTTTACACTTTGCCTATAATACATGTTGCACAGGATATATGTTCTTTCTGAGCCGAGACAGAAATTTTCTGTACAAACAGATGGCAATGCATCCAGGCTTCCGCAGAGATGCACTCTTCTCTCCTGTCAGCTCGCCGCTGGTCCCTGAGGCAGCGCGCACGCCTGTGAGCGACACGGAGTAGAACGGGTGCGTGAAATCATCGGGCGGGAGTCTCAGGAAGACCCGCGCTCGCCCCTGGGTCTCCCACGGCAACACACCTGAGGTGCGGCTGGGTGAAACGGGCAATGTGAGGCGGCCCCGGGAGAAAGCGCGTGGCATGAGGGGTGCCGGTGTGGGAGAAACGCCCAGCATTTCTGTTTCCTCCTGAGCTCGCTCCTCGTGCTCTGCTCTGCTATCAAACAAGCACAACTTTGCACCAACACTAGAAGCGTCTTAAATATGTACACGTGTCACCTTCAAATCCCAGCCCATCAAGTGTCCTTGAAACAGCTTTGAAGTGAAGACTTACTTTGACCACGTAAGTGAATCTCCGAATGTCCTGAATTGCACTCGAGAAGTCTAAGCGGTTGAAAGCCTCTCCCAGAGTACAGTAGCCGTGCCTCTGCAAACAGACAGAGCAGTTGAGATCCGTAATTAGTCACTTAGTCAAAATGGAGTGACAGTTAACGTGATCTGTCTGTGCAAATTTTTTCAATTTTGGGAAAGGACATTTGTTTTTATGATTTATTCCACACTTAGTGCAGAGTAAAAACAGCAATGCTAAATATGTCACGTATAATTAAGACGCTACGCTCTGCCATTCTTACACCACTACGGACACAAGGACAAAGACAAACACTTGGTAGGGATCCTGTTGATTTCTCTTGTCAGACAAGCTGGGGAACTTCAATCACAATGGGGTGTGTTCTAGGCTAAGCTCCTACAGATGCACAGGCCATCTGCCCGGTCACTGTGAAGATGGGTTTGCTACAGACACACACGCAGAAACACCCACGGCCTCTGCAGGGAGCCCCTTGCCCCACGGGTCTAGAGGGCTCCCCATGGGTCTGGAAGGCACCCTGCACACCGGGCCAAGGCCTGAGGCCCAGGGCTGGGGGGTGACTACATGCAGGGTCCGGGTGGGGAGCAGAAGACACCAGGATACCAGTGATACCAGGAGCTGGTAACCAGACCCACAGGACCCCGAAGCCAAGGGAACAGATGGACACAGAGAACGTGTTTTCGGTACTGAAAACCCTGCCATCTTTTTCAGCTGTGTGTCCTTCACGACGGGCCCTACGGTCTACACTGGTTTGCACAGAGCTGTACACTGGGTGTCAGGAGTCATTCCAAACTCGAGCCCTGCATCTGAAATCCTGAGGGTATATAGAGATTTTCAAGTCACGGCTGTGGGGTTAGACGAACTCATGACAGTCCTAGAAACATGAGGTGACAGATGACCCCTTGCCTCTCTAACGGAGGGTGGGACAGGCACTAGCGAAGCAGCTGGAGTGCACGCCTGAGTCTCAGACCAAAGACGCCTTGTGAAAGCTGATTGGGTTTTGTGCCCAAATCCCAAGAATGGTCCTAATGTGTGCACAAACCAACAAAACACATGTTTTTATAACAATACACGTTATTAATGAGTATCTACTATGTGCAGACTATTTTCCTGGGAGCTGTGCAGGAAGCAAAGGTGAATTATAGATTATAATCTGAAGTCCAACACTGCTGACATTTCTACTCCTCAATGAACGGAACTGTAAATGCTGGTATAGACACAGACTCCTTTTCAGGCGGCCACCCATGCCACAGCAGCCTCTTTTTGGGGGGAATTAAATCTAATTGACAGACTGTGAAATACTTGTTTGGGCCACATGAGCCCGCCTGCCTTTGGGGGGCCTGGTACCACATGTGGAAGCTCAGAGGCTGTGGGGCAGCCCCAGTGGGCCACGCAGACAAGCGGCAACAGTACCTGGTCCGTATCAGGTACTCAGCCCAGAGATGCAGCAAGGGTAAGAAGCCTGGCTGTGTCCCTGCCCCAGGGCCCACGCAACACCTCTGCAGACTCACAAGAAATGTCCCTTTGCTGCTCACACTGTCCTGACTGGGTCTCTGCTCTGTAGTCGGGTGTGGTAACACAGAGCAGATCAAGTATTACACAGGCATGAGCGGCAGCCACTCAGATTCCGCCAAGCGCTCCTCTGACGGGTCTCATGAGCGTGTGTGTAAGCCGAGAGCGAGCTCAAACCCACTGCAGTCCTCACCACTAACCAGCCGTATCAGTCTTCCGGCTCAGAAGCTGGCCCCTAAGCTTCTGGGAAGTGGGGCCACATCAGAACAACCATCATTAACACTTCTGGACATCCTACCCCTACACTAAACAACTACTTCCTCAACTGTGCTCCCCCGCTGCTACCAAGTAAGGCAAAGGAAGAGCTTCTCAGGCTGCGAAAGGGAGGAGGCGTCCGTGGGTACTGAGGAGAGAAGGAGGCAGAGTCAAAGTGAAAGGCCCACGGCCCACAGAAAAGCTGCAGCCAGCGTGGCAAAAGACAGGAGTAGGATGGGCTCCCACTGGTCTGGACAGGTTCGGACTTCACCCCAATGTCACACCGGTTCTAGATGGGGGCCACCCCTGTTCTCACTGCCCATAACACACGAGAGCAAGGACACACATGCCAGCAGCACCTGAGCTCACACCAGCAGCTTCTGGGGAGAGGTAGTGAGAAAATGTCACACCGTCTAAGGGTCCATCCTTGCTCTGAAACAGCCCTCCGGTTGACGCAGATCTGTGGCGGGGGCACTAACCACACACCGCACGTGCGCGTGCACACAGGTACACACACGTGCGTGAACACACATGCACACACGAACCACCGCTTCAAAGATCCTAGGTTTTCATCTGCTAGAATGTGAGCCAGAGATCTCATACTGCAAAAGAGAGAATTTATTTAATATGACATTGAGTATTCAACAGAAAACACCAAATACACTCTTATTTATAATGGAATACTTACTTCTCTCGTGCTTTCTTTATGGACATAGATCCATTTCTCACGATAAAAACCTAGAATAAAAATTAACTTTGTTTTTAAAATCTGGCAAATCATTTAAAATGAAGATTTTTACAGAACTTCAACAGTTGTACATGGTAACAAAATTAATCTGACTTATACAGATAAGAGATGCTATCACTTGGTTGAATGTCAACAGAACTGCTATTTCCCAACACCAGTTTAAGAGCTGCTGAAACATCTTGACATGAAAAATGACTTCAGATAGTGCCACATCTTAGCAACTTAGAAGAAAACTAGCTCTATAAGAAACTGCAGTTAATAGCAAAACATAAAGGACTATAAAAACATGATTTGTTAAAAAAAAAAAAAAAGGTGATTAGTCATTAATTCTGTGTACCCTAACAATTCTTCTTCTTCTACTGTTGTCTTTTTCACGTAACTCAGTCCCAGAGCCTCAAGGACTGTGACAACTCTGTTCTCCACAGGACCCCGTCTTTTCCAGCAGCCTGAATACCCTAAGATAGAGGCCAGCGACTCCTGCTCGGGCCACAGTGGGGAGTGGGGCCTGTCACGCAGGTGAGCCAGGAGGCTCCCTGCCCGGCCGGGCCCGCGTGCGTCCCTCGGCTCCCAGGCCAGCTCTGCCCGGAGTCCAGAGTCAAGACCCCTGCCACCTGGGCTTTTTGCTTGGGAGCGAACTGGTCACTGAGCTCACGACCATTTTTCAGTCATTACACATGCATGAGCTGCTTTGTGGGTTTTGCTATCTTTTTTGTTTTAGCAAATCTTGCTAACTAAATGGTGAAGCCGCAAAGAGTCTGACAACCAAGTCGGTGGGCGATACTGCATACAGAGCCACTATTCACGTGTCGTCCCTTACTTCTTCAGACAGCAAGTTGTCAAAACAGTTTAGTATGTGAATATATTAAACAAGTAAAATACCATGAAACTGTTAATAAAAATGATCTTACATTGAGCATTTGTATCATTTCTAAAATGATCCTTTTTCCTCTTTTTGGACGTGTATTCCTGCTCTTCGTTACTGAATATTTCTTCATCATCACTATTTAAGATACTGAAATAAAGACACATTTTATTAAAGACTTTCACACGGAGATCTTCATTTGGCTTTTCTTTTATAAAATAAGATATTGGTTTGCAACTCAGGAGACCAAAACAAAAATCATGAAATTCTGAAAGCAACCAGTGACTTTCAAAGCAGCACATTCCAAGTCTGAGGTTACAAGGTTAATGTGTCATCTGTTGTTTGCGGCGAGAAATCGGAGGTTTACCAGGTTCTTCTGAGGATGTCAGAGCAGGAAGGGCAGGACACGGTCAGACCATGCCAGGGTGTTGGGTACGCGCCACCAAGGGAGGCTCACACTTGACAGCCTTCACTGTGACAGGGATGTCACAGACACTACTACAAACACTCGGGAGGTAGGTCAGTGGGAGAACAGGGTGCCCAGTACAGACTCATGGCGTACCAATTCCTGAGCCAACATCTCCTTCATCCCCCCAGGCTCCCACACTCACCCCTAACCACCACTGCACGGGACGCTGGCTTAGGAAGCACCGACCAAACAGTGTGAACTGTTAAGGTGCTTAACTGAAGCCAGGTGACAGAAAAGGTTGATTTTCCCATTTAAATACATCTAATTAAAAGCTTTCCCAGGGCACCTGGGTGGCTCAGTGGATTAAGCCGCTGCCTTTGGCTCAGGTCGTGGTCTCAGGGTCCTGAGAGACCCTCCTCGATCGAGCCCCACATCTGCCTCGGCATCCCTGCTGAGCGGGGAGCCTGCTTCCCCCTCTCTCTCTGCCTGACTCTCTGCCTACTTGTGATCTCTCTCTCTGTCAAATAAATAAATAAAATCTTAAAAAAAAAAAAAAAGGCTTTCCCAATTTCTCTTTTTCTTTCTACCCCCCTTTCTTGGCTAAAATAAGGAAACAATAAGGCAGTAACTCAACAACTTAAATACATTTTCTTTAAAAGGTACCTTATAGTTAAAAAAAAATAATAACTGTACACAGCATTCCACCCTATCAAAGGTAAAGGTGCACACAATTTTTACGTTCAACACACCAGCAGTGGGCCAGTTAGAGGCTTGCAGAGAGGTGATGAGCTGGCTGGTGGAGGTCCGGGCCCAACACTCGGGCCGAGGGCTAACGCTGCTGTTTTCCAGCACACTGGACAAGAAGGCGGTGACAGCTCCACTAGCCAGCGTTTACATCTCACGAACACAGCTGCCTGCACCAAGGGAATCCATTTATCACAGTCCGAAGACACACACACCGCACTGGCAACAGCTGTAAATCACCAGGACAAGTGCAAGTGCATTGACAAAAACAAGCGAAGTTTCCCACTCGGTGGCAGGTTCCACCAAAGGAACTCCTGGATACTGGCTGGTCCCGTGGTGTCACACTCAACCTTAGGTGAGTCGGGTGTCCTTGATCCAGATCCTGAACACAAGTCAGCTTTTCCAAACTAGAGCCATGAGCACACTAAGGAAGGGCAAACATCTGCTGTTCTCTACTGACCACGCCACACAGACGACACAGCCTACAGGACGGACCCTCCCCCGACGGGAGATCCCATTCTATCCCGCAGACACGCAGCAGGACTGGCTGTAGGAGCTGTCCTTCTGGCAGGTATATCACGGTGTGGCGATGGCCCCTGGGGCTCCCCATGCCAGCACACACAGAACATGGCCATGTGGGTAGTGAAGGACTCAGTCAGGTCCCGGGGCCACACCAGGCATGGCGCCCCACTTGGGTCCACACGGATAATCAAGAGAAAACAGCCACTCTAAGGAAACTAAGTTGCCATCTTCACAAAGTATATCTTCAGTGGTTTTTATACTACCAGGTAAAAACATACACATATATAAGCAGGTAAGAAAAAGAAATGCTTCCAAGATTAAAATTCAACATTTAAAACCATCATTCCATGCTAAGCGAAGTAAGTCAGAGAAAGACATTTATCATATAATCTCTCTGATATGAGGAATTTGAGGGGCAGGGCGGAGGGTTATGGAGGGGGATGAAACAAGAAGGGATCAGGAGGGAAACAAGCCATAAGAGACTCTTAATCTCGCAAAACAGAGGGTTGCCGGGGGAGGAGGGAGGGAGAGGATGGCTGGTGATGGACACTGGGGAGGGTATGTGCAACAGTGAGTGCTGTGAAGTGTGTAAGACTGATGATTCACAGACCTGTACGCCTGGGGCTAATAATACATTATATGTTAAAAAAAAAAAAAAGAAAAGAAAAAGGGAAGAAAAGATGGGAGGGAGGGAGGGAGGGAGGAAGAAAAAAAACTACTCTTCCATTTCACATGCACACAAGCCATTGAGCCACCACAGTTCAGAGGAAACGCCCTCATTTATCACCTCTGGTTTTACGAGCGAGATCAACAGCACCAACTCGGATTTAAAAGTCGGGAAACTTCAACGACAAAACCAAACAGCTGGAATAAAAATGAGTAGAATGAACAGATGTTCCTCCAAAGATGACACACTGGAGGTCAACGATGCACACCGTCACCAGTCACGTGGGACACAGTGAGCGGCCAGCTCCCACCTCGCAGGACGGCCACCACACAGAGCCTGGAAAATAAGTGTTGGTGAGGACACAGGAGCCCCTGTGCTGGTGGGATGGAGAAGGGCAGCCTCTTCCAAAACTCGTGTTTGCAGCACCCCCTACAGAAACCAAGCACAGAAGCCCCGGCTGACCCAAGCTCCCTCCTGGGTAGGTGTCTAGAAGTGGAAGCAGACTGTCCACGGGCGTCTGCACACTGGCACTCCCAGCAGCTGGCAGTTGAGAGCCACTCGTGTCTGTGCACACGGGGGGACGAGCACAACAGAAGGTGGTCCCTGCGCACAACAGGGTGTCCTCCAGCTCGAAACAGAAGGGAATCCTGGCACACACTGGAACGTGGGGAACTCAGAGGACATCATCCGAGCGAGCCAAGCAGTCATGGAAGGACAAAGTACACATGCTTCCGAGGGTCTGCGGGATGTCGTGGAGTCAGAGAGCAGGGTGGACGGAGCTGGAACTGGGAGGAGGCATGGGGTCCGAGCACGGGGACCGAGCGTCCGTGGGGAGGGCGTGGGGAGAGCTGCAGAGCAGCACGCACACACATTCAGTGCCCCCGACACCAGAAGACGGTGAAGACGGGGCGAGGTGTGCTTTATTCACCACAGTGCTCACGCCCTCCCTCTCTGCCCAGTCGTGGTCCCCTTACCACCCCCGACTGTTCTGAGGTAAGCCCCCGACAGGCTCTCTCTCAGGATGACCCCCAGTCCTGCTGGGGCGGGTGTGGCGAGTGCCTCTTCACAGACAAGCTCCCACAGGGCAGGGACATGGGGTGTCCCCGATGCCTGCGGTGTGCTCCCTGCGGCCCCCACCACGAGGCCGGGCCGCACGCTTTGGCCAGGAAGCCCGTCCGCCCGCAGCCGCACCTCGTCTCACCGACTCCCCCTCTCCCGAGCCGCCAGCTGTCTTCCGAGCACACTTAAGGCATCCGTGGTGACACACGTCTTCTCTCCTACCCCGGGTTTTGCTCGGGGCAGGAAGCCGCAGCACCCAGCCCCGCCGGAGTGCTCCCAGCCAGGACCTCACATGCTGCATGGAAGCAGGTGTCTGTCCCACGGATGGGGCTGGGGAGTGGCCCTTCAGAACACGCCTAAGCGCTCACCCCAGTTCCAGGGCACGCCACCTTATCAGCCCTCAAAGAGGTCTTGTGCCCCTTTCTCGACGTCTTCCCCTTCCTCTAACGGGACTGTTTGTTCGCTGGACGTGTCCAAGACCTCCCTCGCCCTACTCCCCATTTCAGAAGTCATTTTCTCTTCCTGCTGCTCAGGTGGGTGCTTTCCACTCGCCCATCTCCCTGACCCCTGCCCCGACCTTCTGCGTCCCCTCGTCTGCTGTGGACCCCTCTGGCGTTACTGTATTCTTTGGCCCCGACTGGCTCTGTCTGTGTCTCCTGCATCCGCTGAGGGTCTGAGTCCACCCAGCCTTCCCTCCAGCCGAGCGAGCATCTGCATGACCGTTCGGCTCTTCCTCAGGCACTGCCTGCCTCTGTGTTGGGCAGTTCTGCTGCCATTGTGTCTGGTTCTCCTGGAGCAAAGGCCTCTGTCGACCCATTCTGCTTGGCCTTCTGTGTTTTCGTGAGTCTTAAACCTGAGGAAGGGTATGGTGCCTGCCGGCGACTGGGCGAGCTGGACAGAGCTGTGGCTGGTGGAGGCTGGGAGTCGGAGGGCTCTCCGTGCCAGGCCGCCCTGTGGGATGGCCAGAGCCACAATGGGAGTGGGTGGGGACAGCCCCGAGGCTCCCCATGCAAACGGTACTCTGGTAGGACGGTGGCGCTAAAGCAGCTGCACAGAGAGGGGTCCCAGGGCCTCCCCAGTGTGGGCACCCTGACAGGACAGTACGTGAGGAGAAGCAAACACAGGCCGATGCAGTCTCTGGGCTCTCATGCGGGGGGCACCCCAGAGGGACAACTCGGGCGGGGGGCCACCCAGGTGCTCCAGGCTGTGCACAGAGTGCCCTGATGGGACTGCTACTGCCGAAGTGGGCACGGGCCACGGGGGTCTCTGGGCTGTCCATGAGGGGGCATCCCGACAAGACAGAGACGGCGGAGTGGGAGCAAGCCAGGATGTCCCAGATGCCCAGTGCAGGGCGCCCTGGGGGGGCTGGCAGGGCCTGGAGCAACGAAGCAAGGCATCGGAAGCTGAGGCGGGGACGGTCTGCAGTGGCCCAGGGTGCTCCGCACCGGTGTCGCCTTGGTGAGACAGCGGGAGCTGCAGTGAGCACTGAGCGGGGTGCCCCAGTGTGCCCAGTGCTGGGGATACCTCCCTGGGGCGGCTGGGGCTGCTGTGGCTCAGGGACCCGGGCTCAGGGATGCGGCAGGCCGGTCAGGACAGCAGGTCAGACCTGCTCCCATCCGCACTGTCAAGGGGAGGGGAATGTAAGCCATGAGGCTCACCAGCCCCAGACCCAGAGCGTCCAGCAGCTCTCCACGGTTTGGTACAATTTTAAGGATATCTCTTTTATAAGCTAGTTATCTTTTCAACGGT